CACGGATCCTGAATTCATCTGCTCTGTTCCACCCCACTGCCCACGCTCGGGGCTGAGCTGCTGGCTGGTTTGAGTTCTCCTGTCCACCCCCAAGTCTCTACACAGCAGCCAGAGCAGGGGTGGGCACTGCAGCACAGCAGGTTAAGCTGGGATGCCCACTGCCCACATCAGGGTGCCTGGGATCAAGTCCCAGCTGCTCTGCTTCTAATCCAGCTACCCGCTAATGCACCTGGGAGGCAGAGGATGATGGCCCAAAAACCATCCGGGTTTTCCACGGAGGCGGCAGGGGTCCAAGCACTTGAGCCATCTTCTTCTGTTTTCCTCAGGCCATTAACAGGGTGCTGGATAGGAAATGGAGCAGCTGGGACACGAACCAGCATCCACATGGGATGCGGGTGTCACAGGCAGCCGCCTAACCTGCTATGCCACAGCGCCAGTCCCTGGATCAGCTCGATACAAGAGCACTCAGCCAAGTGCTGAAGGAACGGCCTCACCGCAGGCCTCGGCACGGCCCTTCTATGCTGCTGCTGTGGGCTCTCGTCAGTCTCATCAGAGACTCTGAAAGTACAGCCACAGGGCAGTGTGGGGTCAGCACTGCCTGTTCCCAGCCATGTAAGCGCAAGCTGCTGATCTCTGAGCCTAAACTCACTGACCTGTAAAATGGGCACAGCAGCCCTACTCTGGACAGTCATGCGGAATTCAATGCCATGACTTATATAAAAAGCAGGACAGAGGATTTGGCCTAGAGCATGCGTCTAACTTACGTATCTTTGAGTCATAGACTATGTTTATATTTGGGTAACTTCTACTCTGGCGACAGTACTATTCTCAGGGTTTTACATGGATTAACTACACAAAAACCCAACAGGGTAGAAACCAGAAATATCCCTGAGTTAACAATGAGCCCAGCAGTCCCTCCCAGGGTCAGAGGCCGTGCAGCTGTCACTGACTCTCTTCCTTGGAACTTTCTGGAAGGAACACACTTCTCACTCTAACCCAGAACCCGTGTATGACAGGACTTCAAAACGTTTGTGGAAAAATGGGAGGAAAAGACTTTTTTTTTCCTTTAAGATTTATTTATTTATTTAAAAGGCAAAGTTAGAGAGGGAGAGGCCAACAGGCAGGCTCGGGCCAGGCCGTCCCAGGTGCATTGGCAGGAAGCTGGATTGGAAGCAGAGCATCTGGGACACAAACTGGCGGTGATACAGGATGCCACGGTCACAAGTGGTGCCGCAGTGCTGGCCCCTCAGAATTCTCTGCACCAAAATAAACTTATCTTTTTTTTTTTAATTTTTTTTTTTTAAATTTTTTGACAGGCAGAGTGGACAGTGAGAGAGAGAGACAGAGAGAAAGGTCTTCCTTTGCCGTTGGTTCACCCTCCAATGGCCGCCGGGGCCGGCGCACTGCGGCCAGCGCACCGCGCTGATCTGATGGCAGGAGCCAGGTGCTTTTCCTGGTCTCCCATGGGGTGCAGGGCCCAAGCACTTGGGCCATCCTCCACTGCACTCCCTGGCCACAGCAGAGAGCTGGCCTGGAAGAGGGGCAACCGGGACAGAATCCGGCACCCTGACCGGGACTAGAACCCGGTGTGCCGGCGCCGCTAGGCAGAGGATTAGCCTAGTGAGCCGCGGTGCCGGCCAAAATAAACTTATCTTTTAACTCTTTTCCATGAACTTTTGAAGTCCCTCAGTATGAATGTATGTTAAGTGTAAATAATTTCACAAAATAGTTCTTTTGGGGCTGGCGGTGTGGCACAGTGGGTTACAGCCCTAGTTTGCAGCGTTGGCATCCCATATGGGCACCGGTTCAAGTCCCAGCTGCTCCACTTCTGATCCAGCTCTGCTACGGCCTGGAAAAGCAGTGGAGGATGGCCCAAGTCCTTGAGCCCTACACCCAGTGGGAGATCCGGAGGAGGCTTTTGGCTCCTGGCTCTGGATCGGTCCAGCTCTGGCCATTGAGGCCATTTGAGGAGTGAACCTGTGGATGGAAGATCTTTCTCTCTGCCTCTGCCTCTCTGTAACTCTTTCAAATAAATAAATCTACATAAATAAAAAATTTCTTTTTACTACATGTAGTGAATTCTCATAGCTTTTCATTTTAATTAAAAAATTTTAAAACAACTTATTGATTTAATGACCTTTTTTTAAATTTTTAATTTTTTTTTTGACAGGCAGAGTGGACAGTGAGAGAGACGGAGAGAAAGGTCTTCCTTTGACGTTGGTTCACCCTCCAATGGCCACTGCGGCCAGCGCGCTGCGGCCGGCGCACCGCGCTGATCCGATGGCAGGAGCTGGGTACTTCTCCTGGTCTCCCATGAGGTGCAGGGCCCAAGCACTTGGGCCATCCTCCACTGCACTCCCGGGCCATAGCAGAGAGCTGGCCTGGAAGAGGGGCAACCGGGACTAGAACCCAGTGTGCCGGCGCCGCAAGGTGGAGGATTAGCCTAGTGAGCTGCGGCGCTGGCCTTAATGACCTATTAGTAAGTCAGAAATGTACTTGAGAATTCATCTAAATTATACTTCGGGGCCTGGAGCAGGTTAGGATGTTGCTGGGGATGCCTGGTACCCTATGGGAGCGCCTGTTTGCACCCCAGCTACTCTGCTTCTGATCCAGCTCACTGCTAACGTGCCCGGGAGGCAGCAGATGATGGCTCTGGCGCTTGCCACCCTTGGGAGACCTAGTGGAGTTCCTGGCTCCTGGTTTCAGCCTGGCCCAGCATTGGCTATCTTGCAGTCATCTGAGGAGTAACCAGTGGATGGAAGACCTCTCCCTGTCACCGCTTTCAATAAAAATAATAGCTCTTTAAAAAATGACACTTAATGCAACTATCACGTTCCAGGTACCTCGGCCACCACCAGGAAAACGCGGACTTCTGTAGTTCACTTCCATCCCGTCCTTATTAGCTGACCCACTTGTCCCAGCTGAGCTCTGCTCCCTCTGCAAGCGCTCTCGCACTGGAGGGAAGACCCTCTCCTACCAGAGGAGATTCAAGGAGTTCTTTCATGTTCCCACTCCCAGTACAGCTGCCTTCTGTTTGTTTTTTTTGACAGGCAGAGTGTACAGTGAGAGAGAGAAAGAGTCAGAGAGAAAGGTCTTCCTTTGCTGTTGGTTCACCCCCTAATGGCCACCGCGGCTGGCGTGCTATGGTCGGCGCACCACGCTGATCCTAAGCCAGGAGCCAGGTGCTTCTCCTGGTCTCCCATGGGGTGCAGGGCCCAAGCACTTGGGCCATCCTCCACTGCACTCCCTGGCCACAGCAGAGCGGGCTGATCAACACCTTCGTAGGCCCGAGGCAGAGTGAGCTGCAGGGCAGCAGGGAGGGGCTGAGTCAGCAGAACTCTGGGGTCCAGCGGCGGGCAGGGTGCTAGAGGCTGGGAACGAGGGCCCTCCGTGTTCCCGCAGGAACGTCCAGGGCCCCTAAGTCTGCCGAATGTGCCCTGGCCCTGCTCCTCCTCTTACTGCGGTCCCTCGCCCAGGACGCCCTTCCTGCTGGCAGCTCTGGCTTCTCCCATAGACACCAGGCGAGGGGTTTCCGGGGGAGTGGATGGCCGCCGTTGTTTCCACCCGGCCTGACTTTCAGTGCTGATTTCTTACCTGAGCTGGTGAATGAGCGCGGACAGAGTCTGAATCTGAGGGCAGGCTACGTGTCAAAGGTCAATCAATAGAACAAGGAAATTCTCTCCGAGGGCAGGAAGTAGCTATGAGCTTCTCTGCCAAATACCTCCACTTCCCCACCCGAGGCACAGATTATCCTGGTGTTGTGAACCAGCAGGTGCAGGGCAGTTAGGGAAAGGAGACAAACTGGGGGAAGTGCTACCACCTGTTTCTGGGGGCTTTCGCCAAACAGGGCTGGCCACCAGCTGTTGCGGGACAGGGGAGGAGCTAAGGCGGGAACAGGAGACAGCTCAGACTGAAGCTAGTTTTCAGATTTTTTGGCTGTGTAGGGAGTTTATTCTCAGAGACAAGTTAACACATCCCGGTCACCAAGCTGGGGGAGCGTGGGTCTGGAGCCCACACGGAGTCACGGGTTCGAGGGTGAAGTTAGCTTTCTACCCCATATCCCTCTTACTAAAACCAGTGCATTCCTGGAGGCAGCCACGTCCGCACAAGGACGTTTCTGGCCGTTCCTTACAGCTAGCTGTAGCCATATGCTGAGGTTTGGGCCAGAGGAAGCCCAAGGGTGACCGCTCTGGGAAACCCACACCAGCTCGTTCGGCCCCTGCCCTCTTTCCGGCGTGCTGTCGGCAATGTCAGTGCTGCTGCTGGTCAGGGGCGTCAGGTTTCGGACCAGAGGTGACCTGAGAAAGGGCGCCTGTGTGGTGGCCATGAGTCTGGCCTGCCTACCCTTGGTGGAGTGTTCTGTGACCGCGACACCCCTCTCACGTAAGCTCCTGCTGATCTGGGTTTCTGTCCATATAGTCAAACCCATCCTAAGTGAGACGCCCTGGTAACTCTTGGCATTCATGTGACAAACACTTCCCACCGCCCAAAGTGTGTTGCTGTGCTGGGCCGGGGCCCGGGCTGCCTGCCCGGGGAGCAGCAGGCTCTGGCCGCTAGGGTGCTTCACCTCTGGTGTTTTCAAACATGGTGGGAACAGGTGACAAACCTCCTTCACAAAGACTGGTTAAGACGAGTGGTGGTTGTTTTTTTAAAAAAAAGCATTTAAGGCATACAACTTCTCTTCTCTGTCAAAACAGCTCCCATCAAGAGGGACCCCAGAGTCACTGACATTAAAAACAGACACCCTTCAAGTGGCCGCAGAGCCCACAGCCGCCTTATAATGAACTACGACTCAAGGTGCTGTTTCAACGTATGTGAAAATAACTGACTTCTCTCAAACAGGGGACGGCACATTCGGAATAAGCGATTGGTAAATTGAACGTGCCGCTGCCTGGAAAACCGAACAGACCTGATGACTGATGCACAGCTGACAAAGTCTTCAAGAGGAAGGAGCAGAGGTGCGGCTTTTTCATTACAAAACGAGCAACCGCTGGACCAGGTGAGCTCACATAGAAAAGTTTTAATGAGACAAATGTCAGACAAGCATATCAACTTCTTAAAAAACAAAGAAAACTTAAAAGTTCAGTTACAAAACACTTTTACAGGAAAGCCTGGCAGTCCCAAACTCACGGACACCACTGTATGTCCTAAAATGTGTCAGAAATAAAAACTGTCTCCCTTCCTCAGCTGCTCCTTGTGTTTTAAATAGAGAAAAAGGAGATCTGTGACGCGGGGTGGGGGCAGCGAGTCCCGGGCCCTCCCGCCCACCTCCTGAGCGTGCAGATGGAGGCGCGGCAGATCCGCTCTGCAGAGCCCGAGGGGCCCGGCCACCAGTGCCGAGGGCACAGCTGCTGCGAGAGCCAGCGTTTTCACAGCAAGCGGCCCATCTCGAGAAAGCCATTCCACACTGTGGGGTCTCACACGTTCCTGAATGCGCACGTGCCCGGTCGCTGCGGTGTGCTGTCTAGCCGGAGATGGCGAGCTCTGGGCCGAGCTACAGCCTCTACTGGTCACAAAACCAGTGCTGACAAAGCTGCGCAGAACTGCACACTTGGGAGAAACGAGAGGAAGGGAGGAAGCAGGAGAATCACTGGCAGAAGGCAGTCACAGACTTGCAGAACCAGCTTGGACGTCCTGTTACAGTGCATTCCAGCACGGACGTCGCAGGCCAGGCGTCTACGAGAAGTGGCAGAAACAGATGAGACCAAACACAGCGAGCTGGGAGAGCCGCCCAGGTCAATGGCAGATCACAGTGGGGCCTTGACTCGGATCAACTGCCAAGGGATGCCACGGGGGCGTCAGCGTGGACACCTGGTCTGTGCTCACACACGAGGCTGGGGCTGCTGCGCTCCTCTGCACGGATAACCACACCAGGGGAGGAGCCTAAGGGAAGGCGGCCCCACGGTGGGGAGCGTCCGGCTGGCCCGGCGGCTCAGCCTCACTCCCAGATCTCAGCTGCCACCGCGGCCTTGTGCTCCCAAGCATCAGAGAAGGACAAAGCCCTGGGGGAAGCAGGACCTCCACCCCCTTGGGCAGGAGGGGGAAGGAGGAGGCCTGTCCTCTCACTCCGACGTGGATGAAGGGCTGCAGGAGGACGAGGGCCCGAGCTCCTCCGTGCCCCTTGGGTCAGGCCCCGAGACTGCTGCGGCCGACTGTCCTCCCGTCCAAATCCACGCCAAAGACGACGGGGACTCCGTCCACCGGGAGAGACGCTGGGCTCTTCTGCAATACCAAGGGAGGAACTCCTCTCCCTTCTCCCGCTGGCTGATGGCCTTTTCCTCAGCAAAGCGCCCCACAAGACACAGGCCGCAGGTGTGGACAAGAGCCTTGCTGGGGCGGGGCCTGGGGCCTGTGTGGGAGCAGTGCTTGAGAACAGTAGGCAGCATGGGGAGGAGAGGGCGCGTCCCCTCCGGGCTGTGGGTGGGAACTCAGCTGCGCCCCACACGACACAGTCAGCAGGAGTTCCTTTCTTTGGAGTCACAGCAGGGCCCCGATGGGAGATGACCCCGCCCAGCCAAGAAGAGAACCCTCCTCCAGAACCCTGCGGAGCGGCAGAGCCCAGAGGTCAGCGCATGGAGCTGGATAACCTGGGGGGTGGGGGAAAGGAAGGCGCACCCCTCCCCTCCATGGCATTAACAAAAGGGACAGCTAGGTAGGAAAACCCGCGCTGGCCAACCAGAGGGTCCAACGGGAACTGCAACGTGGGAGGTCTGTCTTCCTGCTGTAGATGTGGGTCTCAGGGTCCCCCCTGCGGGAGACCCACTAACAGAACACAAACGACAGGAGCCTGGAGACGGGAGGAGCTGGCCACACTCTGAGGCGGGGTGTGGCCCCCATGTGAGGGGTCCACAGGAGGTTCATGCACAGGGCTCTCCAGCTGCCCGCCCAGATGCTGCTGGGGAGGAGACGGTCCACGGACAGTTCTTTCCTAGGTAAAGGTCTGCTCGGCCTCCACTCAGTTCACATTTCCATGGGTGGCTTCTCACTCTTCGCAGGTAGAACACTTACAGAACGTCTGGGACTGTGGAGACCTGAAGAACAACACGAGAGAGGATGACATCAAAAAGATAAGGACTGGGTGGCAGCGGCCCACAACGCGGAGTTGTTCCTGAGGGCTGAGCGGGGAGCTGCGGCGGGCAGCCTCCCGGAGGTGTCTGTGTGACGTCTCAACCAGCGCACACCCCTGCTCTAGTCCCGCCACTGTCAGGGACACTCCTGGCGACAGGAGGTGAGCACCCTGCCCCAGCCCACAGAATGTGTGCAGATCAAAGCCAAGTTTCTCCACGTGTGAGTCCAAGGGCGCCTTGCTCACACAGACAAACACGCAATCACACGAGAGAGATTTTATTTCAATCCTCAAGCAGCCAGACACTTATTAGGTTCAACTGAAATTAGGCAACACATGGATTCCGACAGCTCGCATCAAGCGGTCACTGCTCAAGTTAAGAGTCCCCCACGGCTTCCTCCGGCAGCACTCGTTTCCAGGCCCTGGTTAGCTGCAAGGAAGTCAGAGCTCACGAAACCCTTCCACTGTGTATTCAGAAACACAATCTTTAAGTGGGCTGACCAGAATTTCATAACTTCTTAATTCCTAGATGGAAATTAAAAAGTAAAAGTCGACTTCCTCTCTGTCTCACTGCCGCCTCCTGGGACCACTCAGTGTGTCCCCCCAGCCCTCCCAGGTCGCCTCACAGCAGCGTTTTAGGAACCCCGAGTGACAGCAGACCTGCTGGACTCCTCACTCACTCACTCACTCAGGTGGGCTCAGGCAGAGAGCTCTCCTCTTTGCGAGTCCGTCTCTTCCCGTGTCAATTCTGGACTGCCAATGGGTCCCGCGGCTCTAATATGGGTATGCCCCCCCGAAACTCGGAGCCATCAGCTTTCCTGCACTCACTGGCTCCTGACAGCGGATGGAACCGCTGCCGAGCTCATGGTAGAGTAATTAATGGCACCATGAGCGCTGGGGACATCAGCCTGGCTGTCTGTACGTATTTGTATAATGAGGCCAAGCTAGTATTAATCACAGTCTTTTAACTGTTTCATCTGACAGTTTTTGGGGAGTGCAGGAAACCATTCTTAGTTATATTTGCATGGCTAGAGTGCAAAAATCTGTATAATACAGCAGTTTACATTTTCTGACATTTTTTTCCAAGGGCAAAATACTTGTAGGTTAAAGTCAAGGATAATGGTGACATTCCAGGGTGTCAGACACCCCAGGAAGCAGACCCTTAAGATGGACAAAGCGTGCGGAGTCTTCCTACAAAATGCTCAGAAGCGAAAACCACTGCGGTCCCGTCCTTGCTCACGGCCCTGCACCTACAGGACGAGGCACTGTGCTTGCACAATCTCCACGCCGTTCCTCCCAGCGCTGTCTTTCCAAGCCTACAGGAGTGCTAATTGAAAACCCTATGTGAAAATGAGAAGGAAGACGAGCTCCTGGAAACCCCAGGCCTGCGCTTACAAGCTGTTCCCACGCAAGCAGCAGCAGCTGCGTCGCTGCCTTATCCTGCGGGGAGTCCAGCCATCTCTTCGAGGTGCAGTCCATCCATCTGGCTGCTCGCTAGGACAGCGCTCCCTCCCCTCAGCGCACGGCTGAGGCTACAGGGTCAAGGACTACTCCTATGGCTGCCACTGGAAGGCCTGACTGAGAAGGACAGGCACTCGTGCCGTTGCCTCTGCCTGCGGAAGCTGCCTCATCAGATAAAGAATCGCAGGTTCTATTCATTGCTCCACACGTTGCTCAAGTCCAAGCTAAGCTGGAACATGAATGACAGTTGTTCGCCTACCTGCAGGACAAATCAAAGATCCAAGGCCACGGCCGGACAGCCTAAGAAGCCCACCTGCTGCTGACTCTTGTTCTAGTATTGCGCGTGGCCACCTCACTGTGCAGACCAACCCTGAGGTTTCCAGACAGTTTATGTGCCTGAAGGGATGGAACAACTGACTTAATTGAAAGACCAAAGCTAACGATTTTGTGGGAACTCCCTATCCGAAGTGAACGGATAACCAATTCCCTCTGGGAAGGGCATGTGCCGACCGTCTGTTAGTGCCGCGCAGACTGCACTGGGAGACTCCACAGAGAGATTCTAACACACACTACCAGTCATTTGCTGAATATACTTTTTTTTTTTTTTTTTAATTTGACTGATAGATTTAGGCAGTGAGAGAGAGAGACAGAGAGAAAGGTCTTCCTTCCATTGGTTCACCACCGAAACGGCCACTACGGCCAGGGCTACGCCAATCCAAAGCCAGGAGTCAGGTGCTTCTTCCTGGTCTCCCATGCGGGTGCAGGCGCCCAAGCACTTGGGCTGTCGCTCCCCGTCTTCGTGGAGGAACGACACTGAACCCTGCCTAGGCTTCATATCCGAGTCACGGCACCATTATGTCACTCCCCGTCTTCGTGGAGGAACGACACTAAACCCTGCCTAGGCTTCATATCCGAGTCACGGCACCATTATGTCGCTCCCCCTCTTCATGGAGGAGCGACACTAAACCCTGCGCTGTTCTTTCGTCTGCTCGGCCCTCCCCAGGTTTGCTGCTGGTTCTTCCCGGGTTGGCTACCGTCCCTTCCACCTCCGTGGAAGGGCGGTTCCCCCTGGCCACTTTCCCCACTTCCGCGGGGGAGCGGCACACCGCCGGCCGGCTCTCTCGGGGGCTGCACAGGTGTTCCTCTTAGATATTCCCCTTAGATGTTCCTGGTGCATGTTGTCTCTCTCCTCCTTTATAGTCCTCTTCCACCAATCCCAACTCTGCTACCCACACGCCGAGTACGCTGCTCTCCTCCAATCAGGAGTAGGTCCTACAGTTTATTGGTTGAACTGGAGGCAGCTGTGTAGAAGCTGTTTCTCCCTTCTCAGCGCCATATTGTGGGAGAGCAGATGCATAGAATAAGTCTTAATTCCAGTAACAGTCTAGTCCGAGTTGCTCCCCACATGGGCCATCCTCCACTGCCCTCCCGGGCCACAGCAGAGATCTGGCCTGGAATAGGAGCAGCCGGGACTAGAACCTGATGCCCATATGGGATGCCGGCGCTGCAGGGGAAAGATCAACCAAGTGAGCCATGGCGCTGGCCCCTGCTGAATATACTTTAAAAAAGCTTATTTTTGGGCGGCGCTGTGGCTCAATGAGCTAATCTTCCACCTGCGGCACCGGCACACTGGGTTCTGTCCCGGTTGCCCCTCTTCCAGGCCAGCTCTCTGCTGTGGCCAGGGAGTGCAGTGGAGGATGGCCCAAGTGCTTGGGCCCTGCACCCCATGGGAGACCAGGAGAAGCACTTGGCTCCTGGCTTCGGATCAGCGCGGTGCGCCGGCCGCAGCAGCCATTGGAGGGTGAACAAAGGGTAAAGGAAGACCTTTCTCTCTGTCTCTCTCACTGTCCACTCTGCCTGTCACAAGAGAGAATACAAAAACATAAGAGAATAAACAAAGCTTATTTTCTCTCTCTTCTGTTTGTTTCAATGTGCTACTGACCACTTAGAAATTATGAACAGTTTCCAGGGAAAAGGAATTTTAACAATGAGTAGCATTTTTCCCATCTGAGTGTTGTTTTGGGGTGATTTCTGCTAAGTTTCTCACTGACTCTTCAAATGCCTGAAGAAACGAATGCTCAAGGACAATTTGCATCAAAGCTCGAACTGAGCTCCAACCACAAAAGTCAGGGTTCCTCCAGTAAACTCAAGCACTGGAAAAAAGCTGCCTTGATTTCGTCACCTGACATTATTTACCACACTTAGCAACAATGCAACAGGAATCTCAAGTCTCCAATTTGTGAACTCAATGGAATTCCAGGATTTTTTCCAGAATGCTGATCAAGTCTGACGGTGTCTTATTTTTGATGAACGCAGCACACAGGCATCCCATCAGTGGGCACTCACCACTCCCTAACGATCAAGCCTGTTCACAACTTCTCGGACTGTAGCTATGAAGTTTTCGTTGTCTTGGGGATTGGCTAGAATAATACTGTGCAGTCTGTTCATATAGGAGTCAATGGTGTCCACTGTCGGAGTCTCTCCACTTCCTGTAGAAAGACAGGAGAGACAGTAAGAAAATTCTTCCCACTCTGTTCAACCACAGAACATGTAAGTGAACCCACAGCAAGGGGGCGGTGCCTCCAACATGCCCTGGTCCACAGACACAACGTGATTTCAGAAGACAGACGTTTGCTCTCAGAAGAGATGACACTGATCCACACGCTCCTAGAGACAAATGGGGGTACAGTGCTGTGCAGCACCTGAGAGGCTGCACGGGACGGACGGCAAGACTGCCAGACCACCCCCACGTAAAAGCGTCTACAGAATACGAGCGTTCGTGTTCTCCTCCTCCCCATGAAAACAAAAACGAACACAAAGCAAGCAAACACACAACGGGGCAGTGCTTCTCTTGGGATTCAGCACTCAGTTCCCAGGCTTCTGACGGTCAAATCAAGCTTACTAGAGAGGAAAACAAACTACATTAAAATGGAAGTGGCCCAAAACGTGAATGACCGGCAAGGCTGGCATTCTGGGAGACTTTAGCCAACCCCGACGTTCGATTACGGGACCCACAGAACACCCTGCCAGCAACCCCCGAGTCCCCCGGGGAGATGGCGGGCCCCAGCGGCACCAGCCCCTCCGGCCACCGAGGCTGCCTGCGCCCTCACCGGGCAGCGGCATGCTGGCAAAGCTGCTGGCCAGCACCTGCCGCAGCGTCTCCAGGTGCTGCTGCAGGACCGTGTTGCGGCTGCGCTCCTGGATCACGTCCACCTCCAGCTTCTCCACCGCCGTGCGCATGCTCTCCACGTGCTTCTGCAGGGCCGCGTTCCGCTCCTCGAACTCCATGTTGGACTTGCGCAGCTGGCGCAGCTCCGCCTCCCGAGCTGTGGACACAGCACACCGAGCGCGCGGCCGCGTGAGGCGGCGTCTCGGGGGTCGGCTCGGCGCCCCCCCTCCCCTCGCGCCTGCACTCCAGGCAGCGATGCACAGGGAAATGCCTGGCGCCCTGGAGCCCTTCTCATCCTGCAGCTGCGCACGGGCGCGGTTCCAGTGTGAAAGTCGCGCAGGGGGCTGGGGGATGCCCCGCCTTCGTGCAGTGGCATCTGCCTTCTCTCACTTGTTCTGCATTTCAGACTCGCGCGGAGGCGCCCGCCTGGACAGAGGGTCCCAGGCCCAGCCTTGAGCCACGAACCCGTGCTTTACGTTTATTCCCTCTGACCAGAGCCCAGAGCAGCCCTGCCAACACGGCCCCGGTCCCTGCGCTGGGTCGGGTGGGCCCTCAGGAGGGCTCTCCCTACCACCCCTACCCCGAGCAGGGCATTCGCCCTGTCAAAGGTCTGAGGACCGCAGACAGACCCGTCAGCCTTCACCTTTGCTGTGGTTCAGGAACTCTTCTGTGAAGATAGGGATGTCAAAAACAGAGCGTTCCTTCACCTCCGCTTCCTTCTGTGAATCGAGAGTGACAACAGTGAATTCTCAGCTCAACTCCCCTCAGCAGGGTGAGCCGGGGCGTCCAGAGACTGGCCAAGGCTCTCCCCTCGTCACTGGAATCCGCTTTCACAGAGCAAAGCAGGGCGCGTCCTCCCTTCTTTCGGGTGCACAGCTGCGGTCCACTACAAAGCCTCAAACCTGTGCGCGCTTTCCTCACGGAGAACCCGGAAGCTGTCTGTCTGCTCTGCGCTTTCGTCAGTCACCAGCACGCGGCTGTCCAAGCGGCTGAGGCAGGGACCCAGGCACGCACGCAGACGCCCTGGCAGGCAGGCCTACGCAGCTTGTCCGCAGGGCAGACACAAGGGCTTCAAGCAGAGACCTGCTGGCTGTAACACCAGCAATGGTACTCCACTGCTGCACCTGCTGTATGAGGGGCAAACTATCTTTGGGGCTCTTTTAGACTTTCCTCAGACACAGGAAAAACAAAAATATAAAACCAAGAAGTCAGAAACGAGAAAGCTACAGATTGTGTGAGACAGAACAGGATAACAAAGCCTAGAATTCATCAGTAAGTCATTAATAATGAAAAAGTCTCATAAAACCAATGCAAAACATATCATTCCACAATGATCCTTAGAATAAGGTCATGGGCCAGTGCCGTGTTGTAGTGTGTACAGCTGCCGCCATCCCATATGTCCTGGCTGCTCCACTTCCAATCCAGCTCCCTGTTAATGGCCCTGGAAAAGCAGTGGAAATGGCCCAAGTATTAGGGCCCCTGCCAGCAGCTTCTGGCTCCTGGCCTGGGTCTGGCCCAGCCCTGGTCCTTGTGGCCATCTGAGGAGTGAACCAGCAGATGGAAGACATCTCTTTCTCTAACTCTGGCTTTCAAATAACTAAGTCTGTCTGTCTTTCTGTCTGTGTAACTCTGCCTTTCAAATAAATAAATAAATACATAATCTTAAAAGACATGTCAATTCTGTGGTGAATCTGAAGCTGAAAGCATTATGAATATAAATTTAAGTGTCTTAGTATGGTATTCAAAATCTTGTACTATACAAGATGGTAAAGAAAACAGTATGAAATGAATATTGAAGAAATCGATAATAAAATGTGAAGATTCTCAAACCTTTATGACACAAACAGTGCAGTAAACAAATCGTTTAGAAATCATACTACAAAAACATGTTTAAAACTAGAGATAGAATGTAATTTTTCTAAAGATTTATTTATGGGGTTGGCACTGTGGTGTAGTGGATAAATCCACTACCTTCAGAGTGCCAGCCTCCTATAGGGGTATGGGTTTGAGTCCCGGCTGCTCCACTTCTGATCCAGCTCTCTGCTGTGGCCTGGGAAAGCAGTAGAAGATGGCCCATGTCCTTGGGCTCCTGCACCTACGTGGGAGACCCGGAGGAAGCTCCTGGCTTCGGATTGGCACAGCCCCGGCCATTGCTCCATTTGGGGAGGGAACCAATGGGTGGAAGCCTCTCTCTCTCTCTCTAACTTGTCCTTTCAAATAAGTAAATAAATCTTAAAAAAAAAATTATTTATTTACTTCACAAGCAGAGTTATGGAGAGAGAGACACACAGAGAGAGAGAGAGAGAGAGAGGTCTTCTATCCACTGGTTCACTCCCCAAATGGCTGCAATGGCCGGAGCTGGGCCAATTGGAAGCCAGGAGCCAGGAGCTTCTTCCAGGTCTCCCACGAGGGTGCAGGATCCCAGGTAATTGGGCCATCCTCCACTGTTTTCCCAGGCCACAGCAGAGAGCTGGATCAGAAGAGGAGTGGCCGGGACTCGAACCAGTGCCCATATGGAATGCTGGGGCCTCAGGTGGAGGCCTAATGCCACAGTACTGGCCCTAGAATGTAGTTTTTCTACTCTTAGCACCACTGATTTTCATCTTTGAAGAAAAAAAAAATGATTTGGTGCCCAGTAGCAAAGTGAAGGGGTTCACAGCCTAAGAGAAGATTCTGACAGCTGAGCTCTTGCCTGCACACTGGAGTGTGCCTGGCGCGGGGGCTGGCCTGTGAGGACTGCCTGTCAAATCTGATCAAGGAAGACGCCGATGACAAACACTGTCGGAAACACTAAGTATTAGCCCAAGGACAATCTCTAACTTGTACCCTCTCGTTTTCCTCTGAAAGCAAGGTTTCCCAGAAAAATGTACACAACAAAATATTAACCAAAGCCCCCTCCCCGCCAAGTTTCAATGTGCGAAGCCAGTTCCCAGTATAGTCAATGAGCACTACTACGTGGGCAAGAAAGGCTGGTTCCAGGAGGGATGTCAGACACACGTCACGCTGGCTTTCTTTCCACCCTGCCAGCTAACCATATGCTTTGATTCTTTAACCAGGTTGCTGCCGGAAAACAGGAAATTTAGGGCATGCACTCCCTACACATGCAAGACATAACGCATCTAAATGTAACTGCACATGAGATTTAGGACCCAGTCCTCCGGCTTTCTCATCCTTCCTGCTCAGTCTCCTATCCACCACACGGACCTACATGAGATCAGTTACCGCGCCATGGGTCTCAGCACCTGACAGCAGGCAGCGGGGATGTGCAGGGACTGCTGCTAAGGTACAGAGGGCTTTCTCCAGGTCTCCAATGCTCCGCCTGGTCATTCTGTTCTCTCCCCAGCCAGAGCAGTCCAAACTGAGCTAATTACGTGAGGACAGAGGCCAGCAGTGCACAGCCGCACTGACGTGCTGCCCCTTGGTACAGATTCTTAGAGTGCAAAGTAAGAAGCATTAAAGCAATTAAATGAAACCATCCAGTTGCTGAAAGGCAGCGGAGAAATTCTTCCTAGAAGGAGTGGTAAGAAAAGCCATCAGCCCTCTCCACTTCTGAGCACATCACTCGCATGGAGAGGGTCCTCCTGGGGGCGTGGCTATGCTTATGTCGCTCCAAGCACTGCTCAAGGGACTAAAATCCGAAGGATCTGATTACTCCCTCACTGGAAGGGCCTAATTTGCTCAGGCTGCGTGTCATTTTGTCATTTCTCATAAATTAAAGGAGAAACAAAATTATTGTTTCTTGTTCTTAGTTCTCACCTGAGATGCAGACCTGTTTTTGAGGGTACCCAGCCAACTCCTGGGTCTGGCTGGCTGGTTTGATTTGAGAGGAGCAAAAGCACTCCTCCCTGTGGTTTTCCATTCTATATATTGAGCAGAGTCCAAGAACAGAGGTCCTTTTGGACCGAACCTACTCTGCTGTGATCTAGGCTCAGGGCCAGACTCTCAGAGTGTGATGTGCCCTCTCCTCGGGGGAGTGCGCCGTGCTGTGTGCCAGGCCCCAGTGCCCACTGCTATGCAGAGTGGCTCTCAGGTCAGCACTCGCTCGGCTCCAGGATGCTCTCTCCAGCATCTGGCAAGCTAACAATGTCTCTGGGACCCAAACCCATTTAGGAATACAGCCAGTTTCTTTACTGTACACAAACCAAAAAATTCCTGTCTAACTGGCAGCACATTCTGCTGACATCTCAGAGCAGTCTTGCCCATGTGAGCGCTCAACACTGGTTAGCTTATTCTGGAAGCGTGGCATTGTGCTGTCGAGAATGCTGGACTCAGACCCAGGAGGCCTGGGGCTCAGTCACACTCCTGCCTCCCATGATATTCAGTGAGCGCTTCTGGGTCAGTTCTTTCCTGTCTTAGCCAAGTCACTCCCCCCACTGGCAAAGTGAGGCCCTCCGCTGAGAGGATTCCATGGCGAGCTCGGAGACTACCACGTCTCCCCTTCTGCCCCCGCAGACAAGCACAACAGCGTGCATCTGGAACCCATGGTGTCTGGGGACTTTGCAGTTGCTGCTCTCGTCCTTATGCACTCAGGAACCTGCTCAACCCCTCGGCTGTCTGCAGCTGACCCACGCCTCCTTTCCCTTGGCCCACGGGCAGCTTTCCACTGTCAGGGACTGCTGCCTTCCTGAACGCCTGTCACACCAGCAGCGCGTCTTACGTAAGACACTGCGGGTGCAGCAGCTTCACAAACAGCTTTAACAGCGCTCGAAAGCAGCGCAAGAACCTTCAAACCAGTTCTTTCATACAGCAGTTGTTCTGAAACGCTCCCGTTTGGAGAATCTGTTACACAACGACAAACAAAAGCTGATGCAGTGAGGGACATTCAACGATCAGCAGCCTCGCCGGGAGAGCGCCGTCCTGCAAGTGCTTGGAGAACCCACGTCTGAGAAGCTGTCACTGGCTCTCCACCCACCCACACCTTCTGTTCTTGTCTGGTTTGACATGTGTCTAATCCCCAAACAGGAAAAGCACAGAGACCCATTCCTTTTCATAAATCATAGAAATTACAGAAATTCGTATCATACTAGTGTATTCTAATAAAAAGGTTCATCTATAAAATCATCATCCGCAGCAGCACTAGGTGTTAGGTACTGAATCTACTCTATCTTTTATGACTATAATCAACTCTACTGAGGACAGGAGTGCCGCATCGAGCTTGGCCAGCAAAACCCAAAGGGATGAGAGAGGGAGGGGTGGACCAGAGGAGGCGAGACCTGTGCTTCAGGGCACGGCACAAGGTCTCTTCTGTGACCAATAGGGACAGGTAGCTACAGAGCAGGGAAAAGGAAGCATGGACATTTCATGACACTGGTGGGTTGGTACACGAAAGAAAAGAGAAGTAAGTACTGCTCACATGAGTGTCCAGTACTGTGGAAAGCGTGTAACATTATCCAATTATGACTTAAACACAAAGTAAACATACCATGTTTCTCAAGCAAAACAGACTCCTGCCATTTCACCGTAACCAGCAGACAGACATGTTTCACATAACTATTTAGAATGCGATTTATACAGTAAAATCCTCATATTTACCATGCTTCTCCTTCTGTAACTATAATCTCAAGATAAGCTACTATTTTGAAGAAATGATTTCCTTGATTTGGTTAAAAATACATGCAGAGAGTACACCACAAAATTATCTTCGGTTGAAGTTCCACTGAATGCGTTCTTGTCCCAGAGCAGCCAAGCATGCGTGGACTGGCTCCTACACACAAGCACGCGTGGACTGGCTCCTACACACAAGCATGCAAGGACTGGCTCCTACACACAAGCACGCGTGGACTGGCTCCTACACACAAGGTTGGCAGCCACATTGGAGAGCAGACCACGTGTGCCCCAGAGAGATCCTAATCCGTGAGTGTGAGTAACGGAAGTGCCAGAATAACCTCAACACCAGGCCAGGTGCGCCAAGGGCCCAGGGGAGAACTAAGCCACGAGAGCCCAAGGGAAGTGAAGGAAGCAAGAGGAGCTGAAGGAGGACATGAGACTGGGAGAGGAGTTGAGGAGCGACTAGAATTCGGAGCAGGCAGGGGAAGGAGCACCAGGAGCACAGGCACGAGGCAGAGAGCGCGGCGCACATGGGGAAGACAGCAGCGCCGGCATCGAGAACGGGAGGCTGACATTTACGGATGGTGCTGGATTCAAATGTGATATTGTAAGCAACGAGGAGTCACTGAGTGTGAGAGTGTGGAGTTGCCGCAGGCTTTATTTTTGTACAAGCACGTATTAACTACAGCCTACACAAATATATTTAAAGCTCTTTCCGCAGCACAGCCAGCACACACAGGCCTGAGTCTTACACACACACACACAACACACAACACAGGCCTGAATGCTGTCGATGGGGCAGAACCACGGCGGAGGGAAGAGGCCAGTGACTAGCCACTTGCCAGTGAGGAGAGGAGAGGAGAGGAGGGAGAGGACCTGTGGACCTGTCACTGTGTGTGACTGACACCATAGCTGAATGCTTCACTTTAACAAAATGCTGATTCCCTAAATAACAGTGAGAGTCAGACTATGGTATCTGGTGATGATAAACTATAGTTGAGTTATAGCCTTCATCTGGCCCTCGTTTCTATCCCTCACCCTGAATTCCAGTCATCTTTGGCACTTAAAGGCAATAAAATTCGTAGATAACAGGAAAAGACTGTGGTTAGGGGCAGTAGTTTAAGGACAGACTCAAGATGTCTGCCTGCCCTGTGTAGAGAACTCCTCAGCTAACGTAGTCTACCTAACCTGAATTATGGGCAGGAAACACTGGCCCCCTGGCATGACATACACACAGGAGACCACGTCTAACAGTGACATTACTACATAGGTGACGTGCGGACAGAAGGCCGATTACCTCATGGTCATGAGAGGCTTGCCGGGCTGCATCTGAAATACGAAAGAAATGAGAGAACATTCAGTTAAGAAAAAAACCGACAAAATAAAAACTCTATTATATGCCTGTACCCAACTACAAAACCTACTGGAATATGTAGACTGACAACCTGGCTTTACTTATTGTCAGTCAACACGAGTGAATGGGAATCCCTTACACACGAGGCACACGAGCACAGCCGACAGCCCTTCCCTTTGGGAGACGAGCTGCGGAGAAGACAGGAAACACAGGCCAGCTGGAGGCCCCCGGGGCAGCCTGGGTGTGGGCGGTGCTCCTCTGGCAGTGTGCTGGAGTCGGGAACCTGAAGTCAGACTTGTAAGTGTGATGATCTATTTCAACAAAGAATACAAGATCCAAAAGACAAGATCTTGTTCATCTTGTTCACTGTTGCATCCTTAATACCTATAAGAGAGCCTGATATCTAATACAAGTGTTCAATAAGTATTTTTGAATGCATGTATACACGAATGAATGAAAGAGGCTCACTGGAGGCTGGGAGAAACGGCACAGGACAGGCTGAGGGGCAGTGCGCACTCAGCTACCTAGTTCAGTAGGCAGTTTGTTACAGGAAGAGACACGGCCCAAACTGAGAATTAGGAACACAGACAACTGATAGGGGTCTTGGGGCACAAGTCAAATCACTGATACCAGGTGTGGAAAGCCAGAGGGGCGTTCTGAGAGAGCAACGTGACCCTAAGCAAGCTCCAAGGTGATGTGAGAACGGGCTAAGAGAGATGTCCGACATCTGCACTGTGCCGTCAGGTAGGGCGAGCTACACTGCGGTGCTGGGCCTGATACCTTGCCGATGAGATTTGCCTTTCTGACGGTCCTGGGTTTTCCTGCTGAAAACTTTGTAGGCCTCTGTCTTCTGGTACTGCTCCAGTTCCTTCATGTACCGCTCCTTATCTCTGTCTGCTTCATCAAGGTAACGCTAGGAAGGAAATGTGGGGTTATTCTTAACAAACTGAGACTTTATTTAAAGTAAAACACTAATTACCCTTTTGAAGAAAACAGGAGAAGTAGAACACAGAAAGAAAAGTATACATAAAATATACTTTAAGGGAGATTCAGAAAACCAAGTCATATGAATAGAATGAAAATATAACCTCTTGGTTATAAAAGAAACAGGTGCTTCTCACTTTTTAGACTACTGTCTTTTCTTCCTTAAGAAACATAAGTCCTACTGAGATCATTCTCATTAAAAACCCATGAACATGATGACTGCTGCTCCTCTACCCCACAGATGTAATTCCACATGGCCACTAGAGTCCCCAGGAGGCCTGCACGCCAACAGGCACACTTAGGTCTTCCAGGGGAGGGGATGGATCATTATTTGGCTTCTTTGCCAACCCATTTTGAGGGGATGATCTCATGCATCAACCGGCCTTTTAAGAGCCAGAAGAGTGGCGCACTAGTGCCAGAGAGACACAAGGAACATAAAAAGAGTGACCTCATCCTATGGATCCAAAAACAGACTACTCCGAGAAAGCCTCTATCTACATGCTCTGTTGCTGTGTGCTATTAATTATTTAAACAAGGTTCATCGGTCTACCAGGATTATTCTGTTTAATGTCTTCAGCTGTGCAGTCATCAAACTATGTATAAGAAAATATGAACGTACTGCTTCTGAATGAACACAAACCAGAATTAGAAATTCTGTTGACAATTCTGTGCCACATATGAGCCAGACACAGAGGAGAGTGAACCAGTCAAATCTGGGATCACTTAAGCAATGAAATCATTATGTACAATAAGTCAGACAACATTGGGGAAAAAAGGATTCATAGCAATAATAACTATTTGTTTTCATACCAATAATAGACAACAAATAAAAGCCTTCCTCAGAGGAGGAAGGCTCTTACTTAGTTGCTTATTACAGTTAATTTAAGAGAGAAATTTTTTTTAAAGACTTATTTATTTATTGAAAGGCAGAGGTACAGAGAGAGAAGGAGAGACAGAGATCTTCCATCTGCTAGTTCACACCACAAAACAGCCACAACAGCTGGGGCTGGGCCAGGCTGAAGCCAAGAGGCAGTGGCCTCATCTGGGTCTCCCATGTGGGTAGCAGAGGCCCAAGTACTTGGGCCATCCTCTGCTGCTTTTCCCAGGCCATTAGCAGGGAGCTGGATCGGAAGTGGAGCAGCCGGGACGCAAACTGGTGCCCACATGGGATGCCAGCATCACAGGCAGTGGCTTTACCAGCTGTGCCACAGTGCCGGCTCCATAAGAGACTATTTCTAATACACTGAAATAATCAGGGGTAAAGGGTCATGATTATATGTCACTTACCCTCAAGTGATTCAGAAAAAACCGCATGTGTGCATGTGAGAGAGAGATTGGGTGTGTACAAGTATGAGTGCAATGAAATGGAGAAATGGGATGAAATGTGTCAACAGGCAAATCTGTCTGTCACTTTCAATCTGAGTAAAGCATGGGCGGATATTCTCTGTATTATTTTTGTTTGTAACTTGAACATTTAAAACTATTTGCAAAGAAAAAGTGAAAAGAGCAAAAACACAAAACTCTCTCCCCACATAACTAACAGTGGTCATCCCTGGAGAAAACTGTCACTTTTGCTTTTTCATGTAGGCATTTCTGTACTGTCTGAACAAAGTTAAACAATGGATATGCATTAATTTTGAATGAAACAAAGAGAAAATCATAATCTAGCTAGGATGTCCCTGTTCCTGACCCCTTTATACAGTAAAGCCAAAACAACGCATGATACATATTCTTTATATTAGCTTATTACCACAAACAGCGATGTGATCTAACCTCTTACAAGTGTTTGACTTCAATTAATTACCCAGAGAGCATTTTCCAATTTGGTTTTGGCCTGTCTGACATTCTTTATAAACAGGGTAAGTCAGGGCTGGCGCTGTGGTGTAGTGGGTTGGGCCTTTGCCTGTGGCGCTGGCATCTGTGTGTAAGCACTGGTCCCAGCTGCTCCTCTTCTGATCCAGCTCTCTGCTATGGCCTGGGAAGATGGTGGAGGACGGCGCAACTGTTTGGGCCCCTGCACCTGCGTGGGAGACCCGGAGGAGGCTCCTGGCTCCGGCTACAATGGCTGTTTGGGGGTTAGCCAGAGCATTGAGGGCCTTTCTCTCTCTCTGTGACTCTGCCTCTCAAATAAGTAAATAAAATAAAAAAAAAAGAGGGTTAAGTCACAGATCTATGAGTCTAAGACATAAAAGAATAAGGACATCTTTCAGACGCTGAGGCTGGTGGGAACTTTCAGCCTCACTCTGCTTCAGTGGGATCTCACCCAGCGCAAGGCTACCTTGTCCTTAATTCCCCTCAAATCTCTTCAACAAATGGATTTGTTTCAGTTTGGCAACAGGGCTAGTCTCTGTCTTAGATGAGAAAGAATTCAAGTAGTTCTTGCTTTATTTTCCATAGTATGTAAAATCTGCCAGAACTCTAGCTAAAAAAAAATTCTTAAAGCAGTACAATCCTTTTCAGAAACAAAAATATTTTTTTATAAAAAAAGATTTATTGATTTGAAAGGCGCAACATCAGAGACAGAGGGAGAGATGCAGGGAGAGAGAGAGGGAGACAGGGAAAGAGAGAGACATTCCATTTGTTGGTGAGCTCCAAATATAGGAAAAAAAAAAAAAAGGAAAAAAAAAAAAAAAAAAAAAAAAAAAGCCAGCACTGAGCCAGGCCGCAGCTGGAAGCCAGAAGCCTAAAACTCCATCTGGGATTCTTACACAGGTGGCAGGGGCTCAAGTACGTGGGCCATCAATACCAGGTGCATTAGCAGGAAGCTGGGTCAGAAGCCAAGCAGCCAGGACTTGCACAGTGCTCTGATATGGGTGCTGGCATTACAAGTAGCCACTTCACCTGCTGTGCCACAACGCTGGCTGGCCCATAAACAAAATTCTGACGTGAACTGTAGCATCTTATCAAATGAACTTCTTCCCATTTAATTCACAATTTTTGTTTAACTCAGTGGAATAAATCCTGTTGACTGATTTCTTAATTTCTTAATATTGAACAACTTTGCAAAACAGTCTGATGTGAACTCTTAGCACAGAAATCAAACACTCATGGAAGTGGAGCTGCTGTATTTGAGGGGAGTCCTACCTCCTGCTCACATCCCTGCAGCAAACCGTGATGAAGTTTAAGAACCACTGTTAGAGAAAAGAGCTATGAAGGATCCTATTATTTTAGTCTCCTAGGCTCTGCAACAAAATCAGAGAAGCAACCATCCATCCTCTTTGCTTTTATTTGTTTGTTTGTTTTTTTGAGAGACAAAGAGGGAGCGAGATGGAGAAAGCGCACATGAGCGAGTTCTCACATCCAATGGTTCACTTCTCAAATGATGCCAGGAATGCAATCAGGTCTCTCCCATGGGTGGCAGGAGCCCAGTTACTTGGCCATCACCACTGCCTCCCAGGGTCCACATCAGCAGGAAGCTGGAGGTAGGAGGTGGAGGTGAAGTGGGTATTGAACCCTGGCACTCTGATGGGGGATGCAGGCCTCATAACTGCAAGACAAACCACTCATCGCTCCTCTTTGCTTTTCTGACACAGCTATTTTGAGACAGAATCAATACCAAGCAAAGGACGAGGAGAAGAGCCATTACCTGCTTTTCCTCAGGAGGCAGTTTGCTCCATTCGTTGCCTAACATCCTCGTGATTTCCGGAAACGGGACTTCCGGTCTCTTTGCTCGAAGCTGCTCTCGCCGTTCATTCATGAACCGAACATATCCTGTAAGGGGGGATTTGGGTGCATTGCTGTCTCGAAGAGGTTTCTTCCGCTTTCTTCCTTTGGACCAACCTCCTCGTTTACTTCTTTGCTACAAAACAAAGCACAGTAAAAAAAACAAACAATGACAATCCCCACACATATCTCAACAACAATAAACACCAACACAGAGAATAGGAAGTTTCATTTTCCGATGAATAAGGCCCTAGACATGCAGAGTGCTCCACATCTGTCCCGGGTATGCGTGTCTGCAGCGCAGTGTTTAAGAAGGGATTCCAGATGGTTCACTGGCAGACCCTTCTGTGCAGGATGCTACAAACCACTGCACCAAAGGGCCATCCTTGTGCTCATGGCCACAAGTGAGAATACGGGGAGCCAGGGCCACACAGCTCAACAGGTGCTGCCTCCTGCCAGCATAGTGTCTTCAGTGAGAAATGCAGGACCACACACACTGTACAGGAAGAGCGGATCACAGTGAGATCTGTCACCGGCCACGGGCGAAAGAAGAGACAAGCTACAGCACAGGGATTAAAAATCATTCAGGAAGGGTATTTCTCACTGGTACTACTCAGAGACGAGTTACTTCCCGCAGCAGAGAGCATACAGATTTTTCAATTAGTATCTAAATATCAGAAAAATTTCAGTAGAGTATAATATATCCAAAGTGAAGATCTGTTCCTTGGCTCGACAATTTGCTCCTTTAAGATGTATATTTTATAAAGTCAGAGGTCTTTATAAGTTATTAGTTAAATCAAAAGATTAAATCACTTTGAAAAAAAGGGAGGAAAAAAAAAGAAATGAAGTCTGATGTTTCACAAAGCCCCTCCTTTGGTCATTTCAATGAGACATAGGGTACACTGTATTTTCGTTTCATAATTTTACCAGTACACATAGCCTGTTAATGTGGTACTGTACTCCTACAAACACATTTAAGGTGCTGTGAGACCTCTTACCAGTTCTCCAGCAGCCTGTCCCAGGGACTGGGTCCCATATGTAATCTTATAAAACCACTAAAGTTCCTGTCATTGGGTCACTTCTTTCATGTGCAATGGGCACTATTCTACTTATGTTACAGTTATTTGCTTTTAAACACTCTTTAGACACACACACCAATCAAGTTATTAAAAAGGATCATGCTGTAAAGCAGCAGACCCAGGTCACTTGTGTATCAGAGATTTCTGTTATCATCAATAAATCTGTTTGGAGGGAAAATGGTCGAGAACTTATTTGGCAAATGGTATTTTTTTGGTGTTAGGGTTTTTTTTTATTCACTTAGTAATATTAAAGCTACTAAGGATTTTAAAGTGCTTAAAATTTCAAACATTCATTATAATAAGAATGCCAACAAGACAAAGGAAAAAATTAGTTTATTTAAAAAGATATTTTAAAATTTATTTGAAGGGCAGAGCTACAGAAAGACAGAGATCTTCATCTGCTGGTTCACTCCCCAAATGACCACAGTGGCCTGGGGCTAGGCCAGTCTGAAGCCAGGAGCCTCTTCCAGGTCTCCCATGTGGGTGCAGGGGCCCAGGCACTTGGGCCATCCTCTGCTGCTTTCCCAGGTGTATTAGCATGGAGCTGGACAGGAAGTGGAGCAGCTGGGACTTAAACCAGCGCCCATATGGGATGCTGGTGTTGCAGGCAGTGGCTTTATTTGGTATGCCACAATGCTGGCCCCCAAAATTAGTTTTTGAAAATAAGAAAAGAGACAAAAATCAATGGTGATTTATTTTTTTTTCTAGATGACAAGCATGACTGCGCAGGCCCATACAGGGCCCTTGTGAAAACCAGAGACAGGCACCCCCCTGGGAGCTGAAGGACACAACGAGTGGGAGGAACCCTCTAGCACAGAAGGCTCTGGGCTGCAGGACGTGGCCCTGAACAAGTGTGTGTGCAACTCCTGCTCTTTACTTTTCTCATCAAATCACTCACTCACTCAACAAAAATTTCCTGGGCATCTAACACAGGCAGGGGTAAACTTCTTAGGCAGAGGAGAGAAACAGCCTACCTGTCTCTATGTCATTAAAACCACTAATAGGGTTCTAAGCAGGACACGAAATATAAAACAGAACTTTCTGCAGGTCTCAGCCTAAGACAGACACCTTCAGTCAACAGCTCCTGGGTCAGGTGCTTCTCTGGACACCGCAGAGGACAATAGCGGGAGACACCTCACGGCTTACCTCATCTTCATGCCTCTGCTCAGTGCCTTCTGCTGCGTTTGAGGCCTCATTCTGTAGCAACTGACCTTGGGAGAGGTCCTCCACCAATTCTGGATTGTTGGTGGATGATGTAGCTCCACTGCCATAAGGGGCCTCTGGGTGGGCTAACCTGAAGGACAGGCACAAGCGCAAACATTCGTATCAGCAGCGTCAGAGACTCCCTCATCTATCAGAATTCAAGGCAAACTGTGCCAGCAAGAGGACATGCCCGTGCTTGAATTCCCCCCCACTGCAATCTGTGTCAATGGGAGCACTGTCTCCATCGCAGTCACAGGATGATTAAAAAGACGGTTTTAGAGTTTGATCGAACTGGACTGGTTCCATAAAGAATACTGTATCAAAACTAACTATAATCTTTCCCCCAAAACGGCCTCTCCCTTCTAGAACTTTGCACAGGCAAAGGAGTCTGACTTTCCTTGCTGCCTTTCAGGTTTCTCCATGGGAAGGGAAAGGCCATTGACCGAGGAGATGAATAGGAATGGGAGAGAGAGGCAGTGTGCCCCTGTCACAAAATAGAGAGCCCGTGAAGGCAGACGAGATAACTCTCACTGTACAGCCTACTTCTTGCATTCTGTGTTCACTGATAATCAGATCATCGAAGAACAGTCTTAGGAGATCCAGTAAGTTCTAAGTGTTAACAAACCAGATACAACTTTCTGCTCCCACCAGCCACCTCTGAGCCTTCTGACAGAGGATGGTCAGGATCAGCTTTATCACGTGTGGAAAAGGAACGGATGACAAGGCTATCCCTGGGCCGGGGAGGGCATGGGGGAGATGGGAAGGGGAGGGTGGCAGGAGGACAGCTAGCAGCACGAGTGGCGGTCATTATTCTGAGGAATGCACACCCAAAGGGGAACAGGCAATGATTACAATGCAACATGGGGACGGAAACAGGCTGTGAAAGTGCACGGAGGCATGGGACTGCGCGTGAGCTTCTGTTATGCATGAAGAGAATGCTATGGAGGACTTCACGGAGGAGGTCTTCAAAGATGACTGGTTTTCTTCCCGGCAGGAAGCACTGGGTACAGCAGGAGAAAGGGAGGCTGTCAGGAGGCTGTGGTAACAGACTGAGAGGAAGGGAAGCAGGCCTGGAGAGGGGAGCAGAGGGCGCACGCGGTCCTCGCAGGAGGCGCGCCGAGGACGCCATCTCTGAGAGAAAAGGAAGGGGCAGAGGCGACCTGGGACTCCCACATCTGTGGTTATGGACTTCCTGTCAGCCAAGGCCAGAACGCGGTACGTGTGTGTGATAGGCAGAGAGAGTGGTCAGTGTGAAGCACTTGCAGCATAATTAATGGAGATGTCCCGCAGATTACCAGAAACACATCCTGAGAGAACAGACATGAAATATATCTTTTTTCAAAAAGGATTACTTACTCAAAAGGCAGAACAACAGAGAGGGAGAGACAGAGAAAGAGAGAATCCCCTAACAGCTGGTTTACTCCCCAAATGGCTGCAACAACCAGGTCTGAGCCAGCCCAAGGCAAGGAGTCAGGAACTCCACCCTGGCTACCCCAGGAAGGGACCCGAGTACTTGAGCCATCATTTGCTGCTTTCCTGGTACGTTATCAGGAAGCTACATAGAGGTGGAGCAGTAGACTCCAACAGGCACGCTAATATGGAATGCTGGCATCCCAAATGGCTGCTTAACTCGCTTCGTCACAATGCCAGTCTGCATGAGATAAATGTGGGAGGCATCCGTTTGTGGACATAACGGGCAGTGTCAGATGCTCTCCAGAAAGACAGCAGGAGAAAAGAAAAGTCAGGATGGAACTTGGCTGAAACAGTATCATTTCAGGAGCAACTATTAGACAAACTGGGCGAAGAGACTGAGAAGCAGGAGAGAAAACTGTTGTAGAGGCCAGGGCAGGAAGACTTTACATTTTTATTTATTTGAAAGGCAGAGTTAAAGAGAGAGGGGAAGAGAAAGAGAGAGAGAAAGGTTTTCCATCACCTGGTTTGTTCCCTAAGTGGCTGCAATAGCCAGGGCTGGGCCAAGCCTAAGCCAGGAGCCAGAAGCCTCCTCCAGGACTCCCATGTGGGTGCAGGGGCCCAAGCACTTGGACCATCCCCTACTGCTTTCCCAGGTCCATTAGCAGGGAGCTGGACTGGAAGTGGAGCATCTGACTCGAGCCAGCGCCCACATGAGATGCCGCAGCAGAGGTAACCCGCTATGCTTTAACATTGGCTGTGGCAGGAAGACTTTTAAGATGGGCATATTAGCCAAGCAAAAAGTTGCAGATGTCAAATAAGACAGGCTTAAAAAGTAACCACTAAATTGGAAGACCTGAAGATTGCAAAGATTGCTTGGGATTTTAGGGGGAGTACGGTGTTTGAGGAACTATGGAAACAATTATCAGATTACTATGGACTGAGAAATGAACAAAAGAGATGCAGACTATCCTGGGAATGAAAGAAATGAATACAATAGATGATTTCAGGCAGGAAGTTCCGATATTTCTGAGGTCCTTTATAAAAGGGTAAGTAAAAGAAATGCTAAAATCGATGCCAAGCCCACTCTCTAAAAAGAGGAGCCACTAGGGACCCAGTTTGGACTCAGCATCACCATTTCCCAAACACTTCAATCATTGTGGATGTGTTAAGCAACTTATTTTTCCACTGTCACTCTGACTTCAACTGTGCCATGAGTTTTCAGGTTACGGATTCTTGAGCATTCCTACATTGGTAAAACACAAAACCTCGCTTGGGAACGGGTCCCAGTGCCATGGATCCCTGCCTAGGGGGGACAGGAATAAGAAGCTAGTGGCCAAAGGACTCAAATGCCATGGAGATGACAACCTGGATAACGCCTGAGATACTGAAGAGCTCTTTTGTTACCAATAATGGACTGCCCATGCTCCGAGGGAACCCACACCCTCTTGCCTACTCAGGCAGTTCTGCCCTGGCTGTCATTGCCAGGTCTTCCCTGTCTGTAGGAAAGGCAAGCAAATGTGACACTATCTCTTATCTTTTTTTTTTTTTTTTTTAAAGATTTATTTATTTATTTGGAAGTCAGAGTTACACACAGAGAGGAGAGGCAGAGAGGTCTTCCATTTGTTGGTTCACTCCCTAATTGGTTGCAATGGCCGGAGCTGTGCCAATCTGAAGCCAGGAGCCAGGAGCTTCTTCTGGGTCTCCCACATGGGTGCAAGGACTTGGGCCATCTTCGACCACTTTCCCAAGCCATAGCAGAGAGCTGGATCGGAAGTTGAGCAGCCAGGACTCGAACAGTTGCCCTTTTGGGATGCTGGCACTGCAGGTGGCGGCTCTACCCACTACGCCACAGTGCAGGCCCCCTTTTCCATTCTTTCTTAAATCTACTCCACCGAAGATATGTGCTTCCAAGGAGACATGTACTTCCAAATCTCATCAGGGCTGTCGACGACCTCTATGCTAAATCCAATGTCATTTCTCAGCCCTCTTACCTGATCTCTCCAGAGGCCTCTGAAGAAGTTGATCTGGTCCCCACCCTTGGTTTCCAGGACCCCAGAAAAACCTCTAGTTTTCTTTGTCATCTCAGCTGACTGCAGTGTATACCGACTCCTCTTCTGCCTGGCTTCCAGACGCTCCAGGGCGCAGAGCTAAGGAGTTAGGTCCTCTCTCCTCTCTTCCTACGCAGAGCCCATTTCTTCGGCGATCTCAGCCAGTCTCATGGCTTTTGATTTTAGCTATATTTTGATGATTCCCAATTTTCTCCTCTGTCCTAGACTTCCCCTAACTTCAGAACCTGAAACCAAACTGCCCTTCTAACGTCTCAGCTTAGATTTCCAATAGGAATTTCAAACTTAGTCTGAAAAGCTGAGCTCCTACAGTCCCTGCTATGAACCCCCACCCCTCCAGTTCCTCAGGCGAAACTCTGGAGCCGTCTGACTGCTTTCCTCTCCCTTCTCACCCTGCCCACCTGGTCTTTCAGGCAAATCCTGCTTGGTTTACCTTCAAAATCGATCTAGAATTCTATACTTTTCATTCCTACCCCATTCCAATTATCTTTGAAAGACGTTCTCAGAGGACGTTTGTGCCTGCACTACTCCACCACAAATATTCTTGTCCAAGTCACGGGAAGTGTTGCCCAGGGCATCACCTCTCACCTGAGAGCCCCTGGCCGGCGTCCTTGCCCCAAGGCCTCTCTCCTCTCTCTCTGGCCTCTACTCTGCACTCACAGGGATACCACTAAGAAATGAGTCAGATCGCAGCTTTCTGCTCAAACCAAGCCAGTGCTTTCTCAGCTCATTTGGAGTAAAAGCTAATTTGTTTTGACCTCTGGGACCCCACATGATCTAGTCCCTTAATACTCAAGTACAGACCTCCTATCAACTGCTCTGGTGTGACGGGAGCTTGTTAGAAGTGGAGATTCTCTGGCTGTAACCGACTTTCTAAATCAGCACCTGCATTTTAGTAAGATCTCAGGGCACTTCCTATGTACGCTCAGGCTGATAACGGGGTAGCCTCTCCTGCCCTCCACCAGTAACCCTGCTCTGGTCTCACAGGCCTTCTGGCACTTTCCAAGAGGCAGAAACTCTCTGACCTCAGGCCCTTGCACTGATTGCTCCCTCTGCCTCAAAATAACGCTTCCTTCCTTTAGGTCTTGACTCAAATCCCTTTCTCCAAATTCTGTCTGGGCCACCCCATCTAAAACTGCACCCCCAAACCTTTCCTGTACCTCTTTACACTTTATTCTGCAATCCATTGTTCTTATCAATGTCATATCTATTCTATTTATTTATTCTGCTTATTGCCTGACGTTCCCAGAAGAATTAGAGGTCTTTAAGGGCTAGCTAGCATTATTGTCTATCAATTTTTTTTAAACAGGCAGAGTTAGCGAGAGAGAGAGAGACAGAGAGAAAGGTCTTCCTTCCATTGGTTCGCCCCACAAATGGCCGCTATGGCCGGAGCTGCGCCGATCCGAAGCCAGGAGCCAGGTGCTTCCTCCCGGTTTCCCATGTGGGTGCAGGTGCCCAAGCACTTGGGCCATCCTCCACTGCCTTCCTGGGCCACAGCAGAGAGCTGGACTGGAAGAGGAGCAACCGGGACAGAATCTGGCGCCCCAACCAGGACTAGAACCCAGTGTGCCAGCGCCGCAGGCGGAGGGTTAGCCAAATGAGCCGCGGTGCCGGCCTCTATCATAATTTTTTATCCAATGCCTTCAACACCACTGGGCACAGAGGAGACACCCAGGAAATCTGTACCAAGTGGACTGGGTCTGGTGAGTAGGTGGCCTTCAGAAAAGCCCTGGAGAACAGTTGTCTAAGCAGCGAGACCAACAGGCAGATATTGATGAGACGCAACAGAGATGTGAGGGAAGGAAACAAAATTACCCAGTAGAGTCTATTTTTTAAAGCGCTCTAAAGAATATTAAAATAATTTATCTTGGGGAATTAGCTAGCACTTTAACCTGTTAGTGAATACATTTCTTCTTTTGCAAAAAGCTTCTAAATATTCAGAAAAGATAACACAAGTGCAACAGAGGTTCAAGGGAAGAGGTGGACTTTGCTACTAACTCCTTCCTGGACTCCTTTCCACACATGGCCAGTGACTGCAGGCGGGGGACAGAAGTCAGCTAAAGCTCCCAAGCATCCATCTTTATGAAGAACATTTAAAAATCTCATCTTGGGGCCAGTGTTGTGGCATAGTAGGTTAAGCCTCTGCCTGTAGCGCTGGTATCTCATATGGATGCTGGTTTGAGTCCCGGTTGCTCCTCTTCCGATCCTACTCTCTGCTGTGGCCTGGGAAAGCAGTAGAAGATGGCCCAAGTCCTTGGACCCCTGCACCCACGTGGGAGACCCAGAAGAAGCTCCTGGCTCCTGGCTTTGGATCGGCGCAGCTCCAGCCATAGCGGCCATTTGGGGAGTTAATGGGTGGATCGAAGATCTCTCTCTCTGACTCTCTCTCTCTGTAACTCTACCTCTCAAATAAATAAATCTTAAAAAAAAAAATCTGATCTTTTGGAAAGAATTATTTGAATATCTGTGGCAACTTGAACAGGAAGTGCATCTGCCCCTGGAGCGAGCTCTGCAGCAGGCGTCTCCTGAACAGAGTACAGATCTCTGCCAGGCCTCCCGGCCACAGGACCAGATCACAGGAGCACACGCGCTGCACAGGCAGCAGGATGCAGGCTACGGAGCAGTGCACAGTGGCTCTGCTCGCTGCCGAGCACCACAGATACACCTTCCATTCTTGCGGGGACAAGTGCCTCTCCAGCACCTCACGGCTGCTCGGAAGCTTGGTCTGAAGCCAGCGCAGAGCCCCAGTGTCCCAAAGCAACTGCTTACCCAGCTGCAGGCAGGTCGCTGCTCTCCTTGGCGCCATCTTCGTCTGCAAAGAGGGGCGGCAGGGTGGAAGTGGCCATCAAGCTTTCCATCGCTCTGAAAGGAAGGTAGAATAAAAACTAATTAACGGCTTAATTACTTCCAGTTCAAGTTCCACTAATTCGAGAGCCAGCCTTCCTTGACTTTATCACATCTGCAGCAGAAGAGAAACTGTCCGAAATACCTACTTTCTTCCCTTGGACACATCAATTTAAACTCTATGGGTAATGGGCTTTTAACCCCAGTCTCACCAACCGACCAGATTACAAACCAGTTAGCTTTTTAACAACTGGGACACTGCTAGTCCTCCTGAGTATTTTCACTAGCATTCTTCATTTCCTGTAGAAACTGCGGAGCACAGGAACCCGACGCACCGCGGCCCTAAGCACGTTATTTAACCTCTCTGAGCTACCATTTCCCCATGTCAGCCGCAGACAGAACTGCTGACTTAACCTACAGGGTTACTGCGAGGGATTAAATGGAAAGTGCTTCATAAACAGAGAGGCTAAGGTAGCAACTGCTCTGAGTATTATTATAGAAAGAAAAGCATGGTGATTACAGCATTACCAGTTCTCAGGCCCAGATGAATCACCCTGAGGTTAAACGGTGACAAACCAAGCCCTCCAGAGAGAACTAATGCAAAGGAAGTGGAGGGCAGAAGGCACACTGATGTGGTCCTGAGTCAAAGGGACCACACTTCCAGGTCAGAACTGGGCTCCGCGGGGGGAGCAGCCTGCACCTGGGCATAGGAAACAACTAAGCTTAATTGGAGGAAACAAATAAATCACAAGAACTGGAGGCTATCGAACTGAGAGGATAAAAGGACAAGGTGACAGAGTAATTTCGTTTAGCATCTCAGTGCAAAGAGTGATTTTTTCTCTTTCAAGGCCGACCACCAAGGGCTTCACCCCACACAGCTAAAAGCAGCAGCCTTCCATTCATCATGAAAGTGATATTCAAACAGAACATTCAGCAGTGACCCCAAACACCAGCTACTTAAGTGGAACTGCAAACCACTCAAGAGAGAGAGAGCCTCAATCAACCAGGAGAACGGCGCAGCAATCATGAGAATCACTTAGGGGCTCCCTCAGCACTCACGTCTGAGCGCCTGCTAAGGAGATCGAACGACGCAGCAACTAAGAGGAAAGCCAGCAGCCAGAGCCCAGCTAGGAAACGGAAAGAAAACGCTAAGGACACTGACACTGACACTAGCTCTCCGTGTTCAGTGGAGCAACTGATATTCAACGTCCACTGATGTTTTCTTTTTTCTTTCTTTTTTTTTTTTTTAAAGATTTATTTATGTGAAAGGCAGAGTTAGAGAGAGGCAGAGGCAGAGAGAGAGGTCTGCTGGTTCACTCCCCAGATGGCTGCATCGGCTGGAGCTGTGCCGATCCAAAACCAGGAGCCAGGAGCTTCCTCCGGGTCTCCCACGCGGGTGCAGGAGTCCTTGCGCTTGCGCCATCTTCCACTGCTTTCCCAGGCCCCAGCAGAGAGCTGGATCAGAAGTGGAACTGCTGGGATTAACACTAGTGCCATATGGGATGCTGGCACTGCAAGCGGTGGCTTTACCCGCTACAACACAGTGCCAGCCCCTGTTTTATTTCTTATTCTTATTTAATTTCCACTTCGAAATTTATTATTAAACAGATCAAATACTCAAAGTAGCTTAATATACATGAGGGAATTACACAGAGTTCATAAAAATGGAATTAAAAGACAAGTTTATTTTAGTGCAGACTGAAATCCATGTTTAATTTTTCCATAAGATACATTCCATGAACTTTTGGAAGAGCCCACATGGGCATGAATTTCAAAATCTTTTGCATCCAAACAAATTCACCTTTTATGTCCATTCTTTTATGAACACTTTGAAGTGCCCCAGCATATCTCCCGTGGAGTGGGCAGGGCCAGTGGCTGGAGAGGAACTTCCCACTGGACCAGAGTGAGGAGTTGGGTCTGTGCAGGAATGCTTGCCAGCCCTCTGCAGTTCTGTCAAGATGGGGTGTTTACAAGGGGGAGGGCTCTAACAAATAAACACAGAATTCCATTCTACATATTTTCTAGAACAACCCTGACCCAAGTGTACTTAAGTTTTAAGTTCACATTACACAAAGCCCAAAGTAGAGCCTGGGCCTTAAAAGGCTAGCTAACGCCACCTCACACCAGCGCCAGTCTCATTCTACCGGGAGAAAATTATCAATTAGATACCACACAGTCTAACTGTAATGAGCGAGCACTGAGTCAGGTGTATATCCTCAAACTTAAAAAGATTCATTCCTGATGCTTCTTTCTTTCTAGAAGTGTCTCTAAGAGTCGATGGTCTTTCAAGAACCAGGATGCGGCATGGCTCTCACACCTCAAAAGAAGACGTATTATCTGGAGTGGACAAATGAAGTGCCTCTTCATTCCCTACACCACCACGACCCTCTCAGCCTCGCCCAAGGATCTTCAGTTATTTCTGAAGTGCAGGGAGACAGCTGGATACCACTACCTTAACAACATATAAACATCACATAAACAAAGGAAGTTCAGAGAACACACATTTCTTCCTTTTTTCCCCTCTCTCAAGTTTGTTTTACTCAGCCCATATGGGTTCAGACATACTTTCTATTACTGAGAAGTCAGGTCCCTAAAAATGAGTAATAAAGTGGGTGGAGGGTTAAGGGGCCAAGATCAACAAAGGAAGGAAATGAAGGAAAGTCCAGTGAAACCCAAAGGCATCTGAAGCAGTCCAGTAAGTTGGAAAATAAAATGATTCCCAAGAATATGGCTGGGATTCTGCAAGAGTGTGCTTTCATATGGTCTGTGAGGGAGTGATTCAAACTGAATCACGGCTCCTAAGACACTAAATGCCAAAAGCCTTTTAAGTGTAGCATCTGTGCCTGATGATGTCCCTGTACAGAGGTCACACTGAACTTTGAAATTCTATGCAAGGCACTTAAGAAATGTCATGAATGCTGCTCTGGGAGGGGGAGGGAGAACTCCGTACAAACACAAAGACATATACAAGTTTGGTTTTCCACTGTAGTTGATATAAATAGATTTATGGTGCAGATGTTTCTTTGCAGAGGGGACTTACCCAGTGGAGGCTTCTGCTTGTGTCTCACAAAATGACTATGACCCCGGGGCCTGCACTCTGATCAGCATCTGGGACCTTAGCCATAGACATCCAAAAATCCCCTCCAACCCAAACCATTCACTGAAAAACCCCGATGTACAGGAGTGCCAATTCAAAATGCTTTAATTATGATCTCAAAGCTTATAACGAAAATTACGTTAAGTACTTTAGATACTTCTCAACCAATGAGCACATTCTCTGTAATAATACGGGAGCCAAATCCTACTCAGAACGCTGCTCTCTGGTCAATATGGGGCCAGGACCGAGCAAATCAGGTGGAATCTAAGACAGCATCTTCAACCAAGCTTGTTTCCAAAGCAGAGATGACCTCACCAATGAGACTGTCATTCAAACATGCTGGATGGTGCTAGGAGCATAACTACCGCTTTCTGGGCTGGCTCTTTTCCAGGGCCCTTTCCTTACATCCACCCGTCCACTCACTGGGTCCCCTGATGAAATGCACTGCATTCCTCTCCCATCACTTCTCCCCAGGTATACAGCTCAACCGAGATGTGGCATACCGCCCTCTGCATTCTCCATACCAGTCTCACGCAAAATCCCTGGCTCCCTGAAGATCAGGTCACTTGGCTACAGCAGCTTCAAATTCCAAATCTGACCACTCTCTCCTATCATTCTCAGCTCTCAATTTCTCCCATACAAGCGTCTATTCATTGATCCTTGACTTTCCCTTCTCTCCAGCTTAAGGTTCCACAGTTACGTTTTGTTATGTCCTTTTGCCAACATTCCTGGCTCCCTTTCCCTGTTAACTTCCCAACTATTAGATATAGATTAACTCTGAGTTCTGGCTTAACTTGGTTTAGAAAACAGTGACAGAATAAGGGGTGCTCCCGTAAATTTATGGTATCCAATCACAACTGGGCCCTTGATACTCTCAGCTTTCTTTATGTTCTTAGAATATTTCCCAAGTGCTAAATCATCTGTCACGTTTATAACCCAGCTCAAACCTAACTCACCGCTAGCCTCCAATTCAGTCTCATGTTTTTACATTCCACATGTCCCCAGGTCACACCAGAAGACACCCTAAATTGCTTTCTTTTGGTGAGATATAATTAAGATAACATAAAATCCCTTTAAGGCATCTAATTTAGTGGTTTTTAGTATATTCACAAGTTTGTACAACTGACACCATAATTATTGGGACAACTTGCCAAACAGAAACCTGATACCCACTAGCAGGTCAATCCCTCCCCCCCCCCCCCCCCCGCCCCGGTCCAGGGCAAACACTAATCTACTGTCTTATGAACTTACCTATTCTGGACATTGCACATAAATGGAATTACCCAATACGTGGCCTTTTGTGTCAGGCTACTTTCATCTCACACAATGTTTTCAGGGTTCATCATACTGTAGCATGTATCAGTATTTCATTTCTTTTTATGGTTGAAGAATATTTCATTTAAGGGCTATCCTACATTTTGTTTATCCATTCACAAGCTGGTAAAACTTGAGTTGTTTCTACTTTTTCGCTACTGTGAATGTAGTTGCTTTTGACTATTTTTGTGTAAGCTTTGGTGTAGACATGTTTCCAATACTCCTGGGTAAACACCTAGGAGTGGAATACTGGCAGCTCCATGCTTACCATGTTCAGGAAAGGCCAAACTGTTTTCTAAAGCACCCAGACCACTTGACTTTCCCAATATTAGAGCATCAGGGTTCCAGGTTCTGCTGAGAACAGCCTTAGCGCACGGCTTACCGCTCAGCTTCTGGATCACAGCCACCTGCTAGATGTGCAGTAGTACTTCAGTGTAGCTTCCATACCCACTCCCCTAATAAGTGATGGCAGCCAGCATCGTTTCAGATGCATATTGGCCACTTATATCATATACCTTCTTTGGAGAACTGAATTTAAAAGTTCTTTTTATATTCTGGATACTAGATCTTTATCACATATATTATTTGCAAGTACTGTTTCCAATTC